AAAGAGAGGAAGCCCACATTGGGTGAGCCCTGAGCGGGTATTGCCCTCGATGCCTTCATCTGCCTCCTAGCTGGACCTGGAAGTTGGCTCCACCACCTCACGCAGCCAGTTCTCGTCAGACTTCACCCTTAGTTCCTGAAACTAAGTGGCTCCCTCTGCAGGGGTCTCCCTACATCTTCTGGACCCCTTTCTAATCTCTTGTCCTAGCTGTAGCAGAGACGCCCTATTAAGCGCACATATCTGAACCAAGACCCACTGATGAGGAGTTCCTGTTAGATTAAGGACAAAGCCTTCAGTGGAACTCCTGAGCAATGAGGTGAGCCAACGACAACCCTGCTGAAGGTCTGCATCCAGTGTGACTTGGTGACCACCAGTCGTGCCTCTGGACTTGTGCAGGTGTCCCGGTGTCAATGCTACAACTTGTGGTCATTCCCAGGCCTCTCCTCTTCTGGCTGTTGAAGCCCCCCATGCCCCATGGCTCACCCACCTGCTGGCTTCCCTCCTGTCCTGGCCCTTCACACAGTCTTCTCTCTGGGCAGAAGCTGTTCCTGGCAGGTGCCGCCCATCTGCTCAATCATCCTTATCCCTTGGCCTGTCGCCCAGTGAGAGGTGCGAGTGGCACTGCTCAGTTTGTGTCACTGCTTGTTCACATCCACACACCCTGCAGTCTGTAGAGCCCCCAGGGGCAGGGCTCTTACTGGCTGTTCTCTCCCCAGGGCCCGGTGCCCTTTGGGACACTTAGTGGGAATGAGGAGTAGGACAGCCCACGGTGCTGCCCAAGTCAGTGTCAGGGAGATGACAGCCAGCAGTGTGGAGGAACAGCACAGCTGGTCTAAAGCCGGACATTGCCAACAAATCACTGAGAAGCCCATCAACAGAGTGAGGCAGGACGGCAGCCTTGTGGTAGGTGAGGAGGACTGGGAATCTGGAGTTTTGGCTATGTGAGTGGCGGGTCAGCACTGCTACACTCATTTCAGTGTTATCCAGCATCTTTAACATGACAGCGGGAGTGGAGTAAGGTGGTGGTAGTAGCAGGAGTAATAATGCTTAGAAGATGAAGAAGAGGGAGGGGCAGAGATGATGCAACTCTGTGGGGGTAGGATGGGGGACCCTCACCCACACTCTGGTCGAGGTGGACAAAGCTGGTGGCACCGGATAGATTTTGGACACCCACCAAGCACCAGTCACATACACCGAGGCACACGTGGTGGTGTGCCACAGCCTGAGTGCCAAGTGTCTACAAACATCTACCTGGCGGGAACAGCTTCCTAGTGACCCTGAAGTGAAGAAGGGCCAGGGCTGCGGAAGACCATGTTCTCATCCAATGGGTGGCATCTCACAGTGCCCTCTGTGGGAAGTGGTGCCCTCAGGTTGGAGGGAACCATCAACATCTGAGTGAAACAAAGGGCTCTGTGAAGAAACGACCTGGACTGGGGACATATGCACTCCTGTGGCAAGCCCTCATGGGGCTTCTGCTTCGTGGCAGGTGCTGGGTCAAGGACTAGGGACAAGAAGTGAGGGCCTGAGCACAGCCAGCGGTGCTGCCAACCATGGCCCTTAAATATTCAGAAAACCACACTGCATCTGCACCAGTCCTGGGGGGCTTTTAGCTTGTTATTGCCATGTGTGTGTGCACACGTGTGTGCTGGGCACTGAGACCCGGTGTGTGTATAGGAACTAGACGTCTGTGTATGCAGGGCACTGGGACCAGACCTGTGGGGAAGGCAGGCTTGAACAAGGCATGATGTGAGCTGAGCTGAGTGGGTCTTGCCACCTGTAGCATGGAAGTCACCGGAGCACCTGCAGCCCAAACCTTGTGCTGCCTGCATGGTTGCTGGGAGAGAGATGGAAGCTGGGATGCAGAGAAGCAGATGTAACTGACACCCTCTGGAGGGAGGACAGTCAGTTGCTGGGGGATTAGGGGCCCTGGCAGGGGTGACTGTGTGGGAGGTGATGCCACTTGCTAGCAGGGACATGGGAAGATCTGTTGTTCATGCCAGGAGGCAAGTGACAGGGTGACATCTGGGAGGGAGACCTGAACCAGAGTCAGAGCTTACAGGAGTCCACAGGGTGGCCTTCTTGACTTGATTGCTGAGGACGCGGTGGGAGCAGGGTCCCTTTGCACCTGCTACCTGTCAGGTGCTGGGTATGGAGTGATAAAGCAGAGCCCTGTCTATAAAAGGGCTTCATCCCAGCAAGACCAGTGGGGAGTCACCAAGAAAACGCAAGGATGAAGCTGTCTTCAGGAAGTGGTGGTCAGTGAGCGGGGGCTGGCTGGGTCAGGTTTCTGTGCCAATCTTGGGGTGGGCGCTGGGCAAGCCTCTGGCTGTGGCCCTTCCTGGGCTCCTGGAGTTGGGCCCCATGGCATGGATCTGAAATACCTGTCTTGTTAGTCCCTGGGCACTCTGGACAGCTTTGGGAAGTAACTGAGGTGCTGCCTCTCACATTTAGAACTTAACACAGCATTTCTGGAACTCCCCACTGGCCTGAAGCCTGAGGGGCATTGACAGTGGAGGCCCCACTCCCATCCTTCCCACTGCCCCCCATGCTGGATGAGTGTCAGTAAGTGCACTGCTATTGACCGCGTCCTTCCTGTAAGCCTCAGCCACAGGATTACTTCATCCGGGCAACTACTGGACCTCACGGTACTGGTAGAGCTCTGAGCACCAGGCTGGCTTCTAAGCCATCCGCATGGGATATACAGCATTCTGATTGGCTTTTATCACTGCAGTCAGCATCAAATGTTACCGCCTCATGCCGTCTCCACTTTACAGTGCAGTCTTGACGTTGCCGAGACAAAAAGACAGCCATGCAGAATTATGCCGACACAGGGAAGGTGTTTACGGTTTGTCCTCGGTATTTATGGTGTGTACTAGGTACCTACGGTGCATGCTACCAAGGGGGAGAACACACAAGTCCATGATCACAATCACGATTCTATCTCTTCTGTAGATGTGTACACAAAGTCTACCCAGGCAAAACGGGTTCTCCCTTTTCTTTGGGAAGGTAAGTACACACAGAAGAAAAGTACCAGCTCAGTGGCTGGTCAACTGCACTTTTGAAAAAACAAAAAACCAAAAAACCAAAAAAAAAAAAAAAACCTGAGAGTATGGAAACAGCAGCTGGCAGGCTCCCTGCCTCTTTGGTAGAGACAGGACAAGCCAGCCTCCCTCAACCATGTCACCAGTATAGCAGCCGCGGAGCTGCCGGCTGGGAAGTGCTTGTTCCCAGGACCCAGCTCCCTGGTGGCAGCAGCTGCTGCAGGACTTGATGGAGCAGAACGTTCCACGGTAGGAGAAATCCACAATGGAGGAATGAACTGTTGGGAAAGAGAAGTTGTACCCGTAGCCAAGGTTGACCATTTTCTGCAAATTTGCTGAGTCAGTGTGTGGTGGACATGTCACAATTCAGAGAGAAAATTTTCAGACACCACCTTGGTCACAGGACAGCGCAAGGGATGGCAACTGAGGATCAAGGTGCCCTGGGCATCAACAAACCTAGCTGCAGCCCAAGCAGTCAGCCTGGCAGCTTTGGGCAGTGTGCAGCTAAGTCCCTAGTTAGACACAAACTCTCCTTGAAAACCATAAAGCTGGAATGTGGAGCCTAGAGCTGCATAAGCTCCTGGAATGGCCAAAGTTGAGACCCAAGAAAACCAGGCTGTTCTTCTGCCCCATTCCATTTTACAGATGAGAAAACCGAGGCCCCAAAGCAACACAAATGTGGCCATAATCTCACAACAATCTTGCAGCAGGATAATTGGATCTCCTGGTTCTCTGTCAGGGGTATAGCCCCTGGAAGCGCCATTCCCAGGGAGGATGGGAGCTGGGTAGGAAGCAGGTACAGGGAACAGGGAGGACTGATTCTGTGCTGCTTTGAGCACAGAGCATCGTCGCATCATGGGTGCTTACAGAATTAAGGGCAACTCCAACGGAGAGGAGAGTGGCAGACATTTGGGCTTCCTCAGTTGGCCAAGAATGACTTTCAGAATGTTCTGCCTGGAGATTCTCCAGGGCTGACCTGGGGTGAGTGTGATTGTGTCCATCCCTTTGTGGTCCTCTGGGAGCTGGGGACCAACCAAGCAGGCTCCTCATCACTTTCCTAAAATAAGGAAGTGGAAGCTGCCATGTCTTGGACTTCTTAACAAGTATTATTTAGAGTTTAGCTCTTTGGATCTTTAAAAAAGAAGAAATAATTCACACACTTCACATACTGCATTGTGGCTAGGGGCACTGTCAGTGCCCCTTTGGCCATGACCTTAAGTGGAAGACTTGTGCAGGGGTCACTAATCCTGGGTGATGTAGTTGTCCCAGGCAGGCTGCAAAAGCCACTTTTGAAATCCCCTGCAGCACCTCCATTGTGCGTGTGGATGCACACACACACACACACACACACACACACACACACACTACAGCCCTACACCTCTGTGGTTGGTTCAGCCCCAAGGTGCACTATAAAGGTACCGACTAGGGCCCGGCGCGGTGGCGCAGTGGTTAAGGTCCTCGTCTTGCACGCCCGGGATCTCATATGGGCGCCGGCTCTATCCCGGCAGCCCTGCTTCCCTTCCAGCTCCCTGCCTGTGGCCTGGGAAAGCAGTCGAGGACGAGGACGGCCCAAAGCCTTGGGATCCTGCACCCGCGTGGGAGACCCGGAAGAGGCTCCTGGCTTTGGACCGGCATAGCATCGGCCGTTGCGCTCACTTGGGGAGTGAATCATCGGACGGAATATCTTCCTCTCTGTCTTTCCTCCTCTCTGTATATCCGCCTTTCCAATAAAAAAATAATAAAAAAATAAATCTTAAAAAAAAAAGGTACCGACTAGATGTGATTAACAGATGCCCTGAGTTTCCATCATCCAAAGCATGGGTTTTGGTGTAGCTGAGGTCCCAGAACTGCCTGGTTGCTGAGGGGAAAAATCTCCTTAGGAAAGCCAAGGAGGAGCCCGAAAGCCAGCAGGCTGCCAGGCAGCCGGGGTGCCCTGCAGGTGGGTGGGCTCGGCCTTACCTGGAACATCAATCAGTCTTTTGTAGACATTCAGGAAGGCTGCCTCGGCTTCTTTGCTTCTTTTACTCAGTGCATCAATCTGAGAGGGAGAGGAAGAAGAAGAACTCAAAATTTGTCAAGAGGCAATTAAAAAAAAATCTATATGTCTAGTAAGTTCCTGTGGCAAATGCAAGTCTGATTTCTCCCTGTCTCCCTCCAGTCTGATGGTTGGGCCACCCAGCTCAGAGGAAACACCTGCAGACACACAGAGGGGGATGGCCCATGTGGGCTCAGGCCCACATCCCACATTGGAGTAACCAGAGTGCAGTGCAAGCTCTGCTCCCCACTCCAGTTCCCTGCTAAAGCACAGCCTGAGAGGCAGCAGGTGAAGGTTCCAGGGCTGGCTTGGGGCCTTGTCACTCCTGTGGCAGACCTGGGTGGAGTTGCTGCAGCCTGCCTTAGGCAGTATAGGGACCTGGGGAGTGAACCAGTGGATGGATGTTTGCTTTGCCTCTCTGCTTCTCAAATAAACAAAACAAAAAACCCCTCAGCAACTGAGACACAGATACTTCTTTTCTTTCGTTCTTTTTATGAGAGCCAAGGACATACACGCATGCACACAGCTGTGAGCTCTGCCTAGGACACCCACATGTCTGCTGTGTTCCACCCATGGAATCCAGGTTAAGAACCCAAGGGTGGGGCTGTAATGCTCCATGGGATAGAAGGGACCAACAGGAGTTTGCTGGGGTGGGAACAGGGACATATACACATGCAGGAGCTGTAGATGGTAAAACAGCTGTCAAGCAGTGTCAGATCCCAAGGGGTCATCAAGGCAAACAGCAGAGCCCCCTCATTGCTGAGCTGGGGGCAGCGGAATGGGGGTGGGGCTGCTCAGGTGACAATTGTTGGTCTTTAAGCACCCTGAGTTGACGTGAGACAGGCGAGTTGAGAACAGCACCTGTATTTCTGGCTTTGGCCATGGATGGGCAAGGAATTGCAGGGATGGCCAGGACTGCTGTAGAGCCCCTGAATTTCCCCTGCTGAGCCAGATGTCCCCAGGGCAGATGTCTATCTGGCAAGGTCAGGTGGTGTGCAAACTCCCTCCCTGCTGAGGACTGCCAGTCAAGGCAGCAACTTGTCAGGATGTTCCACTTACATAACACAAGTGCTGAGGCCACAGAACGCCTCCTGCACCGAAGCCTGCAAGATCGTACACGCACCAGCTTCACGCTGGCTCAGGGAAAGGACACAAAATTATAGATTTCCCTGTCCCCTTGTGGAGTTATGCTGTCTCCGACATTATTAAAGAGGCAAAGGATGTAGTTTAATTACAGGGCCCTATGCCTGGGCCAACATACATGGAGGAAGGGCTGAGCAGGGATCACCTGACAGAGGGAGGTGGAGTAGGTAACATAGTCTACTGGGGGCTGAGGAGGCTAACGCAGAGTTGAGCCCACGAGTGCCATGCCGGTTCAGGAGGCTAATGCAGAGCTGGGCCCACGAGTGCCATGCTATTGCCACCTTCTCACCAGCTGTGCACCCCCCCACCGACAGCCAATCTGGGGCATCCAGACGTAGTTTCCTCCCATAAAACGAGGTTGTGAGTGAGTTGTTTGAGGGGGTTCCCAATAGCCTACAAGACCATTAACACAACACTACAAGACATTTAATACAACCCCCCCCAAGGTCTGCCAATGAACACGCACTTACTGTATAATCAGAAAAATATAAAAAATACAGAAGTAAATTAAACTCATAAATCTGCCATTCACTGGGGAAAAAAAAATCACACTGGTCTGTTTCTTCAATTTTTTTTTCCAATTATAAAAATTATAGACCAGTGGAATGTAGGCAAACAGGCAAACTGGAGACAGAACACAGATGAGGGGCTGGGAGGGTGGTAGGGGGAGCGAGTGTTTGGGGGGCGATGAGAACGTCCCCCATTTGTGTGTGGCGACGGCTGCATGCTGAATACGACACCGGAAGCCAACGCACCGGAGGCTCCGAGGGTGAATGAGGTAATGTGCAAGAATCACACTGTGATAAAACCATTTAAAACATGCATGTCTCTATGTATCTGAAACCAAATCACATGTAAACAGTTGGCATTTCTTTCACTAATCCATCACTCAGCTTCCCCATTATCTATGACCAACTTGGGGAAACATCTTCCCAGCACTATTTCAGTTATTCCCGATCAGCACACGCACAGACGTTGGAAACAAACAGGAGACTGAAGTTGGCCTTGCTGGTGCCTGGAACATATCCTGGGGCTGTGGAGGGTGTGTGCTGACAGGTTGAGTCTACCCAGGGAACAGGTGCATGCCACGGCTGCGCTCAGACTGCCTGCCACCCACTGTCAACTCCACTGGGGTCAGGACCCATACCACCCAGGGCACATGGATGGCCGGTTCTCTGGCAGGAACCTTTCCTCCCCTGCCCGAGTGTTCATGGGGCACCAGGAAGGCTTGGTACCCTCCCAAGGTATTCAAGGTCTCCTGAGAGAAATCAAGGCCTTGACCTTTAGTGCCTGAGGAAAAGACCATATGGGGTTGCTGTAATAGCTCAATCTTTCACCTCCAAATGCCAGGATTCCATATGGGCAACAGTTCACATCCCAGCTGCTCTGTTTCCCATTCAGCTTCCTGCTTGTAGCCTGAGAAAGCAGCAGAGGAGAGCCCAAAGCCTTGGGACCCTGAACCTACATGGGAGGTCTGGAGGAAGCTCTGGCTCCAGGCTTTGAATTGGTTTAGATCTTTCACTCCGTCTTACCTTTTTTCTGTAGATTTGCCTTTCCAATAAAAATAGATAAATCTTAAAAGAAAGAAGCCTCCTCCGGTTCAGTGTGGTAGCCAAGTGGCTAAAGTCCTCACCTTGCACGCTCTGGGATCTCATATATGGGTGCCAGTTTGTGTCCTGGTTGTCCCGCTTCCCATCCAGTTCCCTGCTTGGGCCCTGGGAAAGCAGTCGAGGATGACCCAAAGCCTTAGGACCCTGCACTTGGTTGGGAAACCAGTAAGAGGGTTCCCAGCTTCGGATCAGTTCAACTCAGCTCTGGCTGTTGCGGCAGCACGGGGAGTGAATCAACAGACAGAAGATCTTTCCTATCTGTCTCTCCTTCTCTCTGTAAATCTGCCTTTCCAATCAAAATAAATAAATCTTAAAAAAAAGAAAAAAAGAAACCTTATCAGGGGGCCAACTTCTCAGGTGATCAAGCAATGCTTAACACTGTGGGAAGTGTAGACAGGTGCACAGGAGAGTGCCAGGTGGCGAGCAAGACAGAGCAGTGTGACATGTCCATGGGCCTGGGGGCAGAGAGCACCCCGCCTGGGCTCGCAGGTTCCAGCCCACCTCGGGGCCACCTCCTGCCAAGCCTCCTGATGCAGCCACGCCTGGTTCCTCCCAGTTCCAACAATACACGGGCAATTTCCCCTCCGTCTAGAAGGCGCCGCCTCGGAATGTTTCCCCAATCCTTGGGGCTGCCACAGCCAGGGACTGCCCCGTTGTGCAGGCGAGACTCCCTCTATCATAAAGTCCCAATGACTGTGCCTGAGATGATGCGTCCACCCACCTGCACACAGCTTTCTTACAGTGTAGGGGCAAATAGCCCCTCAGGGGCACAATGCCACCTGCAGAGGCAAACATATGTAATTTCAAATCTACCAGATGCTTAACATGCCGAGAACTCTGTTTCATGAACGCTGGGGTTTGCTGGCAACCACTTGGTGGTGACTGCCATTGGGGGCATCTTCTTGGCTGTACACCTGACAGCACTCGCTTGTTAACATCTTTTTTTGTGGTGAGTGTGCAGTCATGGCCATGGCCATGCTCCAGCCAGACCCTGAGGCCTCCACCATGCATCTTCTCTCAGTGTCTTCCCTGTCACCTTCCTCAGCCAGGCCATGGCATTTCACTGTCCCTCCATCAAACAACAGTTGCTTCTGACAGTGCCAGTTTCAGCCATTCAGGTCTTAAGAACAAAGTGTACAGAATCCTACTAGAGGCAGGTGTCTGGGGCTATGATGCTCTGGGGTCACATAGGGCAGGACCCATTTGGCCTTCCCCTCATGACTTTCCTGCAGCCTGGTCTAAGATCCACATTCTTCAGGTTGGGATTCCAGAAGCCTGCATGACATGGCCCTAGCTTTCCCTGCTAACTTGACCTGTGAACCCAACTGCTCCATGATACGTGCTGCTAAATGCCAGGTGTCTTGCAACACGCTGCATCTCCAAGGTCTTTCCACACCAGCAATCTGCAGGCCTGGTACCAGTTTGCTCTTTGTGCATTGGTCTGGGGGCACCTTCCTGGTGCTGGGCTGGCTTTCCCAGGCAGCTAGTTACTGGCAACTGGGCATGAAGTAAAAGCTGCTTTACCCACATGCCACATGCTGCCAATATGTCTCACTCCCACCAGCTTCCTCTCTTCCCCCTATGGCCTGCTGCAGGACAGGGCAGCGGGTCCTTCCTTGCTCTACCCACCAGGGTACCTAATGAGGAAGTATCTTTTTAACAAAGAGGACAAAGACCAGGCAGGGAAGGTGGTGCAGAGCATGGGATCCCCTAAAACTCACTCTGGAAGGGAGCGGGCAGGCGTTTGTTGCCCATACTGAGCACCCAGGTTTGAGTACTGACTCTGTTCCCGCTCTTCCTAATTCTGGCTTCCTGCTCATGTGCACCCTGGGAGGCAGGAGGTGATGACTTCATTAGCTGAGTATCTGCCATTCATGTAGAAGACCTAGATTGAGTTCTAGCTTCCTGGCTCTAGAGTGGCCCAGTCCTAACTGTTGCACGCATTTGGAAAAGTTCCCTGGTAGATAGCAGATCTCTGTCTGTCTCTGTCTCTGCCTTTCAAAGACAATGAACACACACACACACACACACACACACACACACACACACACACACTCACACACACCATTCTCAAGTTCTGCAGCCCTGCTTAATTCAGAGGATCAGAGCAATGAAGACAGTTGGCTTGGTTAGAACGTTTTACCACTCTATTGCCCAAGTGATATGCATGGCCTGAGAAGTGGGAAGAGTTGAGATGGAACACTAAGACCGGAGCTGCGAATCTGGAGGAGAGCACATCGCCCTTGGTGC